GCCCGGCTCCGCGCTACCCCTGCTTCCCGCGCGCTGCCCCTGCTCCCCGCGCGCCGCGCCCGCTCCTGCGCACCCGACGGCCCGCGGCGGGGAGGAGTCCACCGAGTTTGCCCCGGAGCGCGGGGAAGTTTCCCGCGAAGCTCCGCTCCCGGAGAAGGGGGACCAGCCGGCGGCCGCTGGCGAGGTGAGCGCACCGGTTTGGGGCCGGGGATGGGGTAGGGTGTGGGGGCCGGGATTGCGGGGAGCGCTGAGCAGCCGCGGTAGAGGGGTCTGCGGGGGCGGGGAAGTGCATCCTCACCTTTTCAGGTACTTCGCCTCTGTCGACTGAGGGAGGCATCTTTCGTTTCTTCTTGACCCCGTCTTTCTCTGCTTCCCCATCCTCCCCCCATATTTGAACCCACTTCCGTTCACTTTACTGGACCTGCTCGGAGGGGCGGCGTGGCCGGGAGCTGGAGGGGACAGGGCGCGGGAGGGGCGCAGGAGGAGGACGCGCGCCTGAACTTAACTACCTGTGCTGGGTTCCCGGGCCCGGCGGGGCGCCCGGGACTCCGGGATTCTGGTGCCATCCCTGACTTGGCGCAAGCGGGGGTTGGCAGGAGGACACCACAAGGCACAGCATTGAGTTTCGGATGCCGGTTTATCCGGTCCTCCGGCATGTTTGGCAGAAAGATGAGCATCTCTGCAGCGGTGCCTCTTTTGCATCGGCCTCAAACTCCGGAACCTTGCTAAAGCTCTGGCGAAGGCTGCGGACAATGTGGGAGGGAAGTTGGGAGACTCGGAACCCGGGTGCATCAGGCGCCAGCAAAGGGGTTGGGAGGCGTGATGTGGGGAGGAAGATTGAAGTGGGTTGGGGAGAGTAAGAACGGCGCGATTGTTTGGTTGCTGCTCTTACTTTGGCACGCTTACCCGCTCCCCCTTCTGCCCCGTTTGAACATCCTATCAGCATATTTCTGTTAGAGGGCTAAAAGGTGTTCTGTTTGATGCCTGTCGGAGTTATTTCCAACTAAGTTCACAGGTGCGCAGCCTGAGCCGCTGCTCCTCCTTGCTCCCCTCCCTGCGGTCCACCCCCACCTTCCCTCCCACAGGCAAACTGTTCCTGAATCGTTCCCAGGGTTATGAAAGGGATGACAAGTAAATAATACAGTTTGTGTTTGTGTGACTTTTCCCGCATTATGTTATCAGAACCAAATCAAAACACTGGAGATGTTTAATAAGACTCCCCTGCAGCAGTTTTTACAGTAATTAAGAGTATTATTTACAGTGTTTATTTTTCAGCGCTTTAACTCCAAACATTGCATCAGTCTTTCTCTATGCAGCTCTATCTGTACTGTCACTTTGTCACTGGGTTTAAAGGACAAGGGCTTCTTTTGGACTCACATGTACACACCAAAATACAGTGTGACAATATTCAATATTTATCTGTCTTCTTGATTCAGTGGTCTGGCACCTGCCAATTCCAGTACATAATTGTAACACCATATGCCTGTCTACCAAACTGAGGATAGGAGAATGTTACTGTTTTTCATGTGCAGGACTACCCTGGACTACCAGATTTTATTATTGCTTAAGGGGTTTTTCAGAGCTTCAGTCAAAGTGAATCAAATGTACAGAACAAAATTACAATTCTACCCAGTGCATTCAAAAGGAATACAATTCCTGGACACATAACTAGTTGACTAGTTATTGAAGAAAAATTAAAATCCTCTCATCACACGGAAAACATTTTGATTGAATATAGTCAATAAGAAATAGCACACATCGAATGCCCTGAGAAAGCAAGAAGAATCTTCCTCTTGCCTCATTTGAGTTTTATCTCCTTTATTACAGTAGCATCCTCCAGAAAATGAGCACCTTGCAGATAGATGTTGGTATGTACTAAGCACCATATTTTTTTAATACAGAGGCTTGGTGACAGTCCAAAAACATAAATGTTTTAAATCATTACCAACCATCTGTTCTCTCCCACTCAAAGCGCAGTCTTTTATTTTCACAGGTATCAAAACATACATCCTCATTTCATACATTTCCATGAATATCCCGATAGCTGCAGTGATATCTGAAGTTGACCCAAGTTTGGCAACTGTTATGTTTGGCTTCTTACACTATAAGCTCCTCTCCTTTTATTTTCAATGAAAGAAGAAATCAAAAAAGTTTTAAAGCCTTTGGCCAGAGCTGGTGTGTATACTCCAGTGAAATCTGATTGCTTTTTTTTTTTTTTTCCCTCCACCTTTTTGTTACCAAACAGAAGCCGAGAATTAGTACAGCTGCAGACTCCTCCTGATGACATTCTTTCCCTTTCTTCCTGGTCACAAGGGTAGAATTTGGTGCTCTGAAGCAGTGTATTAAACAGCCTCGTGACTCCAGAAAATTAGTGTGGTTCCAGAAGGATATAACCTCTTCCCAGGAAGAATTTACAAAATGGGAGGCTAACTTAATATTCCAAACCCCAGATGAAGTAGACTGAAGACATACACTTTGTTTCCCATACAGATGTTGGCTGTCGATATTGCATAGGATATGAATAACATGTCTAGGTAATATTCTTTATATTTGTGTTTGTGAACTTGGATGAGTCTGTATATAATCAGCAGATAGATTCACACCCTTCATTTTGTTTATGTCATCATTAGAGCAGTACTTGGGGTTTTGAGTCTCCCCCTCCTTCCCCAATCCCAGATAGCTTTCACATTTAGGGATGTTTGCTGTAGCTACAACTGCAATGTTAGGACGTTTTTCTCACTCAAAATTAAGTTGCATAATAAATATATTGTTCCTTCAGTGCAGCGAGAACACTGGGAAATTCTTTTTACTCAAATCCAGGTGTAATGTTCCAAAACACTTTCCTATTTTTGAGGAAAAAGATATTGGCAATCTAGCCCACACTTTGCAAATAATTGATACGTACTAGGAGAATATCAAGAACCAAAGAAAGGTGAGGTTTCTGCCTTCTGACCTGGTGCACTGCTCTGTACTGCTTTTGCTTTGAAAGCCTAAGATTCTCCTTACTTACTACCAGGATAGCACTGAAGGGAATGAGCCCAAACTATAGACAATTTTGAAAGTTAAGTTGCCTTGAAAAATGTGGTCTAATTTAAACCTTTGGAAATACATAAGGATGTGTTAGATCTTATTTTTCTATATACTAAAAATGAATTATTGAGGGGAAATAGTTTCACTATGTATAGTAAGCACTCTGAATTATTAATGTTAATGAGAAGAATAGAGGCAAAGATAATCCAAAATCATGGTTATTTAAAAAGTCATTTGTTTTTGTCTTTGGAACATAGTGCATGTTTGGTTTATAAAAGATTTTCATTGTTGTTGGGGGCAAGTTGCCTTTCTAATTATTTTGTTTTGTTTAGGTTAATTTTTAAATGAGCTTATATACCTCACACACCAAAACCGATTTATAGGGAGGTGATACAGATGGGCAACCTGCCCAGAAACGAGCTGGGTGATAGAAATAAGCAAAGCTGGTATGGGAACTTTGCAGTGGAATATATGTCATCCACAGAAACATAATCAAGACTTGATTGTATACCTACTTAATGAATATGTTTTAAGAATTATATATGTTCCTGGAAAAAATAAAAGTCCTACAATCAAAATTTGAGAAATTCAATCCCACTTCACATGCAAGAGAGGTGATTAATATGTTTTGTTTTGTTTTTTTTTAATGATAGTGGACTACTTCTGAAAACCAAACAGGAATATTCTGATTGATAAATCTTACTAAGCCAAATCTGTAAGCATGGGGTTTTACTAAAGCATGCACATGTGTATGTGTTAAGGTGATAATCCTCAGCCTTCCATAGGTACTTTCTAAAGAAGAAACAGCAAGATGCCACCAGAATAAGGGGTCTGGTCCATTTGATCTTTGTACCTATGCTCCAAATCAAAGTACATTGCACTGAAGAGAAACTCTCAAGTATCTATTATTACCGTGGACCTGGTTAGAGAAAATAGTTAAAGTTCAGCAAGACTGGCAATTTAACAGATTTCTATTGTGTTTTTCAAAAGCTCTAGGGCAAAATTGGTTGTGGATGAAATAGTTACTTGAACAAGAAGTTGATTCACACCATAGTGCTGGCCGTTAAACACCTCGTTTGTAGTCACTGTTCAGTTGTATATAGATTTTGTTGAATTGTTAGTTCTGTGGACTATTAGAAAACCTCTGTGGGGAAGGTTAGAGCTGCTAAAAATATATGATTGGAAAAGCAGGTAAGATCACTTTTATTTCAGGAATTCAAAGCAAAAAGTAAAACTGTAACTTTTACAGCAGTGAGCAGAAAGGTAATAAAGTAGATGTCCCCTTCAGAGGGGTGACTATGTTCTCATAATAAATGTGCTCACTACTGCAAATAGAGAGGTACTTCTTTTTTGAGGAAACAGTTTTTTAAAATTTTTCATAGGACATGGCATTTGGCATTTTTTTAAAGACTCAAGTCCTTAGACTGAGTATTTTAAAAGAAATATTGTGGTTGGAAATATAATTGAGGCCCACGGGATATATTTTATACACACTTGTTAAAGAAATCAGTTTCTTCTGATCAGTGCCTAAATCTAAGAATCAAAATTATGCATTTTGTTATAGAGATGGAAAGGACCTTTAAAGTAATTTATTCCAATGCCCTCATTACAGTTAAGGAAATGGGGACCCACAGTGATCACTGTGAGCCGCTAAAGGTTACACCAGTAGTTAGTGGCAGAGCAGAAACTAGAAACCTGATCTCCTGACTCATTCAGCTCCCCTGGAGGAAGCTGGGTGCTTAGGCAGGGGAGTTAACTCTTTCTGGCCATCACGGTATCAACGCCCCACGATAATCCTGAAATGAAATGGTACAGGGGTAGATGCAGAAGGCTTGTGACTTTTCTGTCTTCTCTCATCCACTGGGTAGTCACCATGGACCAAACCGTGGTTCTCAACCCTCTTAGTCTCTCTCTTTTTTTAAACAGCAAATATTTTGTGTTTCCCCCTTCATATCCTGAAATGTAATTCATCAATAATTTAGTTACCGAATCTATCTGTAATGAAACGGAGCAGTAAAATAAAAGCTAATTTGTAATTAATAACTATATTGATATCTGGGGATGACTTCCCTGGAGCACATATCCTAGAAGCAGAAGCTTGCTTGAATATATAATGAATAAAACATCAGAAAACGTTCTCTACAAGAAGTACAG